AAGAGAGAATAGGTGAAACCACAGTCAATGAAATAGTAGATGCTGAACTTGGCCAAAAACCAAGCCCCCCCCCCCGCTGGGGGGGGGAAAAAAAAGCCCCTTTTTTTTTTTTTTTTTTTTTTTTTGGGGGGGGGGGGGTTTTTTTTTTTTTTTTTTTTTTTTGAGGACCCCATATTAAAAAAAAAGAAAAAACGTTTGAAGAGTTTTTTTTTGCAGAACCTTTTACATGAGGTTGGAAAATTTAAGGTAGACCCAGGGGGGAGGCTTACATTGGTAGAAAACCTCCTCCAAGAAAAAAACACCAATTTAAGAAAAGGCATTTTTTCCACATCCGCCATTTGATAAAAGGATCCCCCAAGTGCGGTCGGGTAGTAGCCAACTGCAATAGTGAAGGCTGCGCAACCAAGAGGTGAGAACGAGCAAACAGGAGCAAAGGTCTCCCTCATAGTCAATTACCATATTCCTTGATTGAAAGCCTTTTAAGCAAAAATCAAGGCGGCTTTTATAGCGCTCAATAGAGCCATCAGAACAGGTTTTGAAATTTGGTTATTACCCAATTTTAACAAGCCAATGGCAGTCTTGCCAGGAGGAAGATCAAACATTGTCCCCAAGTGTGAGTTTTGTCTAAAGCCTATAATCATTCAGTCATAGCTTGCCCCCTGCCATAAAGAGGATTAGAGTTGAAGCCTTCCCGAATAGGAAGGTGGGTTCATAAGTAGAAAAAAAGCCAAGTAGAGCAACATAAGTCACGAAGACGAGTAGAAAGTTGGGATTTAACCCGGTGTGGTCCGAGTAGGAGGAGGAGGAGCCAGTAGGATAGAGACTCAACAGGGGTGAGGAGTCGAGGAGCAAGAGCAGGACCCATCAAGAGCTGGACCAGTCAGAGCTGGCAGGTGCTTGAGAAGACCAAGTAGGCAAGGCTAATCTCAAAGAGAGTCCAGGCAATGGGCAGTGGATGGAAACTCATTCAGAAAACAGATCTGCAGAAGGGGTTAGTAAAACACAGAGAGGTGAAAGGACGGATAAACGGAATTGAGAGAGGGAGGAAAACAAATTGTGTGTTCCCCAAAAAGACCAACATGACGAGAGATACGGAGACGCTCTGGAGAAGGTCCCAACAGCGAACCCTTTATGTTTCAATTACATTACCCCAAGAACAACAAAGCGAGAACGAGGTTCGAGTTTGGTCGGTTCATGAGGTCTTTTGGAAGAAGAGGTATCGCTGTAACTCGCCTCCATCTACTGCTGATGGTGTCTTCTGTCTTAAGTCAATTGGGTCTGTGTCCACCTCACTTATCTTTATCCCATGTATATCTTATGCTGCTCTCACTTAATCTTAATCCTCCATAGTCAATTATGTGAGCATGGTCTAACCGTGTACCTTTTCCATACTTGGTTGGTGCAGGACCCTCGGACCAGGCAAACTCTTGGGATAGGCCGTAAGCAAGACGTCTTCTACGATACTATCCATCTTCAGATTTCAGGAATTTCCTTCTCAATCAACTCTCCTCCTACACACTACCGACTACTACCACTGCTCCTCCTTTATCTCATTTCAGCTTTGGCACTAATCGTTGGGCCATCTTTCTGTTGGTCCGTTGAAGTCTTTAATTTCTAGTGGTCTCATTTGGACTGGAAGTTCTGATGCTTTCAATTGTGTGTCCTGTCAACTTGCATACAACGCTGCTTGTCGTTTAATAAAATTTCTGTTCTCTGGCGCCCTTTGGATCCAATTCCATTCTGATATTTGGGGGACCCTGCTCCTACTCCTACTATGGGAGGCGCACGTTATTTTGTTGTTTTATATGATATTTTTCTCGTTTTACTATGGTTGTTTCTTATGAAAAATCGCTCTGAACTCAAACAATTTTATACAATTGCTGCAAATGGTTAAACCCAATTTCTAAACTTATCAAGAGCTTTTCCGCTCCGACAATGCCAATGGAATATAAAGATTTTTGATTTCTTTCCTTCCTAGGAAGTCATGTACTCAACCTCATGCGTTCCTGTCACACAGTACGTCCCAACAAAATGGCCGTGCTAACGAAAACATCGGCATCTACTTGACACTACTCGCCCATCCTTCTCTCTCCTCTTGTCACCGAAATTTTTGGGGTGAAACGCGCTCTCAACTGACTCTGCTGTACGACATCAATTTATCCCTAACACTGTCAATTCATATGCACAACATCCATATGACGTTTACGATGGCACCCTCCTTACGACACCCTTTCGGGTTTTATAGGCTCTGCCTGTTTTGTTCTTTCCTCAACTCAAATGAAACGTACCAACTTGAACCTCGTTCCACCTTTCGTGCTTCTTTGGGGTAATGGTATGAACATAAAGTGTACGGCTGTTGGGATCCCTCTCTCCAGCTCTCCGGACTCTCGTCATTGTGGTCTTTTTGGGAACAAAACAATGTTCCTCCCTCTCAAATTTCCGTTTATCCGTTCCTTTACCTACCCTCTGTGTTTACTAACCCTTCGCAGATTTGTTTTGCCTGACTGAGCTTCTCTCCACTGGCCCCATGCCTGACTTCTCATTGAGAACTGCACTGCTCCTACCTGGTCTTTCCAACACCTGCCAGCTCTGATGGTCCCTGCCTCTGCTCCCTCGACTCCTCACCCCCTGTTGATCTCTCCTCTGGCCTCCCTTCTCCTCCTACCGACCACACCGGGTAATCCAACCTTCTACTCGCTCGTGACTGTATTGTTGGCTCTAACTGCTGTTTTCACTTATGAACCCACCTCCCTATCGGAGCTCAGCTCAATCCTCTTGGCACAAGCTATGACTGATGAGTGTAACAGGCTTCAGACAAAACTCACACTTGGACATTGTTGTCTCCTCCTGGCAAGACTGCCATTGGCTTCAAATGGGTAATCACATATCAAAACCTGTTCCTGATGGCTCTATTGAGCGCTAAAAGCTCGCCTTGTTAGCCTAAAGGCTTCAATCAAGAATATGGTATTGACTAGAGGAGACTCTTTGCTCCTGTTGCTGCGTCTCACCTTCTGTTCGCAGCCCCCACCAACCGCTCATTGCATTGCTACTATCCCGACACTGGGACTTATCAATGGACTGTGAAATAATGCCATTTCTTAATGGTGTTCTTTTGAGGAGGTTCACATGCAAGCCTCCCCCCTAGGGTCTACTTTACTCCACCCATAAAGTCGTGCAAACAATTCAACGTGCTTTATATGTCTCAAACAAGCTCCCCGCGCTTGGTTTGCCAAGTTCAGCTCTACTATTCATGACTGTGGTTTCACCTTCAGCTCTTATGATACTGCACTTTTTATCCGCAAAACTGCTCATGGGACCACCTTGCTTCTTCTTTATGTGGATGATATGATTATCACCGGTGATGATGTCAATGGTATTCTTCATCTTAAACAATTTCTTAGCCATCATTTCGAGATGAAAGACCTTGGTCCTCTCAGCTATTTCTTGGGTCTTGAAATCTTCCATGATTCCACGGGTTCTTTTCTCTCTCAGGCTAAGTACACATCTGATCTTCTCACCCGTGCTGGTCTTACCGATTGCAAGACTGCCTCAACTCCCCTGGAGCCTCAGAGTCGTCTTACACCTCTTGATGGTACTCTTCTCTCTGATGCTACTCTATATCGTCAGCTGGTTGGCAGTCTTGTCTATCTCACTGTTACTCGTCCTGCTCCTACCACTGCTACCACTGCTCCTCCTTTATCTCATTTTCAGCTTTGGCACTATCGTTTGGGCCATCTTTCTGTTGGTCGTTTGAAGTCTTTAATTTCTAGTGGTCATTTGGGTACTGTAAGTTCTGATGCTTTCAATTGTGTGTCCTGTCAACTTGCAAAACAACCTGCTTTGTCGTTTAATAAAAGTGATTCTGTTTCTCTTGCGCCCTTTGATCTCATTCATTCTGATATTTGGGGACCCTCTCCTACTCCTACTATGGGAGGCGCACGTTATTTTGTTGTTTTTATAGATGATTTTTCTCGTTTTACATGGTTGTTTCTTATGAAAAATCGCTCTGAACTCAAACAACTTTATTACAATTTTGCTGCAATGGTTAAAACCCAATTTTCTAAAAGAGAGAGCTCAGTCTCTTGTATGACATATACAAACACACAGAGCTAATATTTGCTCTCTCAATCTCTCTCAATTTCTTATATGTTAATAGTAGATAAAGCACACATGTTATCCTAGCATCACATGTTATACAATACAATACACACTGTAAAACACACACCCACTAGCATCACATGTTCGGATCACACTGTAAAGCACACACCAGCACACACCCACTAGCACACACCAGCACACAAGAAAGCTTTAGCTATAGTTTAATGTATTGTAATATACACTTTCGGTCTCCTTCTCCTCTCTATAAATAGAGAGAGGTCAGTCTCTTGTATGACATATACAAAAACACAGAGCTAATATTTGCTCTCTCAATCTCTCTCAATTTCTTATATGGTATCAGAGCACAGGTTTTCTGCCTAGCCTCTTCTTCCAACATATTTTTCTGCAGATTGCATTTCATCTGTATCTTTTTTTTTTTCGTCCATCTCTGAAATACAGTTTTCACCACACCAGAGCCTTCGTCTCCTCCGAACGATTCCAACGCCACCAATTTCAGTCCAATCCGACGTTACACGCGCTCTCACGCGCCACTTCTGTGAACGGCGCGTCGCCTGCCTCCGCCTTCCGCCTCACACGCGCTCCACGCGTCCTCCACACTGTCCCGTGCTAACGTGCACCGCGCACTACCTTGCTAACGTGCGCCGCGTGTTTCTGACGTTAGCACACGTCAGCTTCTCTGCTACCGTGCACTGCCTGGCCTATTTTGCTAACGTGCGCCGCGCACTACCTTGCTAACGTGTGCCGCGTGTTTCTGACGTCAGCACACGTCAGCCTCTCTGCTACCGTGCACTGCCTGGCCTGTTTTGCTAACGTGCGCCACGCACTACCTTGCTAACGTGCGCCGCGTGTTTCTGACGTCAGCACACGTCAGCCTCTCTGCTACCGTGCACTGCCTGGCCTGTTTTGCTAACGTGCGCCGCGCCCTTTCTTGCTAACGTGCGCCGCATGTTTCTGACGTCAGCACACGTCAGCCCTCTCTGCTACTGATGTTGGTGCCAACTGTTTTGCTAACGTGCGCCGCGCCCTTTCTTGCTAACGTGCGCCGCGCCCTTTCTTGCTAACGTGCGCCGCGCCCTTTCTTGCTAACGTGCGCCGCGCCCTTTCTTGCTAACGTGCGCCGCGCCCTTTCTTGCTAACGTGCGCCGCGCCCTTTCTTGCTAACGTGCGCCGCGCCCTTTCTTGCTAACGTGCGCCGCGCCCTTTCTTGCTAACGTGCGCCGCGCCCTTTCTTGCTAACGTGCGCCGCGCCCTTTCTTGCTAACGTGCGCCGCGCCCTTTCTTGCTAACGTGCGCCGCGCCCTTTCTTGCTAACGTGCGCCGCGCCCTTTCTTGCTAACGTGCGCCGCGCCCTTTCTTGCTAACGTGCGCCGCGCCCCTAGCCTTCAGTTTGGTAGGTTCCAACTTGAGTCTGCTTCCTCTCCAGCCAAGGCCATCTGGGATTTTTTGCAAGAACGCTATCAGACTACCGGTCTTGCTCACCAATATCAGCTTCTGAGTCATCTTCACCGTATGCGCCAAGAAAACACTCAGACCATTAATGATTTCCTCTCCCAACTGTATTATGTTTGGGATCAACTCGCTCTTTCTGAGCCTCCATGGCCTCATACTGAGGATGCTGCCTTGTTTACTACTTACCGTGACCAACAACGCTTGGTTCAGTTTCTCATGGCTCTCACTCCTCGTTTTGAGCCCGTCCGCGCATCTCTCCTACATTGCACTCCTTTACCCACTCTTGAGCAAGCCGTTTCTGAACTCCTGTCCGAGGAAACCAGGTTTGGTACTCTCCATCCACACCCTGTGGACTCTGTTCTTGCTACTCCCCAGATTCGGAGTTCTCCTTCACCACAGCGGTCCACTACCTGCAACTATTGTCACAACCGCAATCTTCCATCGACTCATCTTCTGGTTCATTGTCCCGTTCGTCTTTGTCGATTTTGCAACAAGACTGGCCCCGGTCATCTCCAACAAGATTGCTTCTGCAATCCTACCCGTGCCTCTCGCCATGGTCCTTCCACCGGGAATTTTTCCCGCAGCAACTCTCACCGTTCTGGGACTCCATTTAAAAACATGCCTGCTCCACGCACTGCTGCTGCCGCCTCCGAAGATTCACCTTCTTCTGTCCCTGTAGATCCTTCCACTCCGGTCTTCTCTCATACCGATGTTGAAGCCATGTTTCAACATTTTTGGCAGCGTTCCGGTACTCCTCCATCTACTGCTTTCTCTGCCACCGCAGGTAACTCTTCTTGGTACTTTGACTCCGCTTGTTGTAATCACATGACTTTTGATCCTACTATTTTTACTCCTCTCTCTTCTACTCCTCATGTTCCTTCTATCCATACTGCTGATGGGTCTCTTCTGTCTGTAAGTCATGTTGGGTCTGTTTCCACCTCTCACTTATCTTTATCCCATGTATATCTTATGCCTACTCTCACTTTAAATCTTATCTCCATTAGTCAATTATGTGAGCATGGTCTAACTCTTACCTTTTCCCATACTGGTTGTTTGGTGCAGGACCCTCGGACCAGGCAAACTCTTGGGATAGGCCGTAAGCAAGGACGTCTCTACGAACTTATCCATCTTCATGTTCCGGATTCCTCTCAAATCACTGCTCCTACCACTACTACCACTACTACCACTGCTCCTCCTTTATCTCAGTTTCAGCTTTGGCACTATCATTTGGGCCATCTTTCTATTGGTCGTTTGAAGTCTTTAATTTCTAGTGGTCATTTGGGTACTGTAAGTTCTGATGCTTTCAATTGTGTGTCCTGTCAACTTGCAAAACAACCTACTTTGTCGTTTAATAAAAGTAATTCTGTTTCTCTTGCGCCCTTTGATCTCATTCATTCTGATATTTGGGGACCCTCTCCTACTCCTACTATGGGAGGCGCACGTTATTTTGTTGTTTTTATAGATGATTTTTCTCGTTTTACATGGTTGTTTCTTATGAAAAATCGCTCTGAACTCAAACAAATTTATTACAATTTTGCTGCAATGGTTAAAACCCAATTTTCTAAAACTATCAAGATTTTTCGCTCCGACAATACCATGGAATATAAAGATTTTGACTTTCTTTCCTTCCTTAGGAGTCATGGTACTCAACCTCATCGTTCCTGTCTAGGTACGTCCCAACAAAATGGCCGTGCTGAACGAAAACATCGGCATCTACTTGACACGCAATCGGTAAGACCAGCACGAGTGAGAAGATCAGATGTGTACTTGGCCTGAGAGAGAAAAGAACCCGTGGAATCATGGAAGATTTCAAGACCCAAGAAATAGCTGAGAGGACCAAGGTCTTTCATCTCGAAATGATGGCTAAGAAATTGTTTAAGATGAAGAATACCATTGACATCATCACCGGTGATAATCATATCATCCACATATAGAAGAAGCAAGGTGGTCCCTTGAGCAGTTTTGCGGATAAAAAGTGCAGTATCATAAGAGCTGGAGGTGAAACCACAGTCATGAATAGTAGAGCTGAACTTGGCAAACCAAGCGCGGGGAGCTTGTTTGAGACCATATAAAGCACGTTGAAGTTTGCAGACTTTATGAGGTGGATAAGTAGACCCAAGGGGAGGTTGCATGTAGACCTCCTCGAGAAGAACACCATTAAGAAAAGCATTAGTTACGTCCAGTTGATAAAGATCCCATTGTCGGGAGGTAGCAACAGCAATCAAGCTGCGAACAGAGGTGAGACGAGCAACAGGAGCAAAGGTCTCTTCATAGTCAATACCATATTCTTGGTTAAAGCCTTTGGCAACAAGGCGGGCTTTGTAGCACTCAATAGATCCATCAGAACAAGTCTTGATTTTGTATACCCATTTGCAGCCAATGGCAGACTTGCCAGGAGGAAGATCAACAATGTCCCAAGTATGAGTTTTGGCAAAGTCACGAAGACGAGTAGAAGGTTGGATTACCCGGTGTGGTTGAGCAGGAGGAGGTGGAGCCAGAGGAAGAGACTCAACAGGGGGTGAGGAGTCCGAGGGAGCAAGATCAGGACCATCAGAGCTGGCAGGTGCTTGAGAAAGACCAGTAGGCAAGGCAGTCTCAAGAGAGTCAGGCATGGGCAGTGGAGGAAGCTCATCAGAAAACAGATCTGCAGAAGGGTTAGTAAAACACAGAGAGGGTGAGGGAACGGATAAACGGAATTGAGAGAGGGAGGAAAACATTGTGTGTTCCCAAAAGACCACATGACGAGAGATACGGAGACGCTGGGAGAGAGGATCCCAACAGCGATACCCTTTATGTTCAATACCATACCCCAAGAAGCAACAAAGGCGAGAACGAGGTTCAAGTTTGGTACGTTCATGAGGTTGGAGAAGAACAAAACAGGCAGAGCCAAAAACCCGAAGGGTGTCGTAAGGGGGACGGGTGACATGTAAACGCTCATATGGAGTGTGATTATGAATGATCGGTGTAGGGATACAATTGATAGTGTAAGCAGCAGTGAGAGCGACTTCACCCCAAAAATTTTCTGGACAAGAGGAAGAGAGAAGGAGGGCTCGAGTAGTGTCAAGTAGATGCCGATGTTTTCGTTCAGCACGGCCATTTTGTTGGGACGTACCTGGACAGGAACGATGAGGTTGAGTACCATGACTCCTAAGGAAGGAAAGAAAGTCAAAATCTTTATATTCCATGGCATTGTCGGAGCGAAAAATCTTGATAGTTTTAGAAAATTGGGTTTTAACCATTGCAGAGAGCAAATATTAGCTCTGTGTTTTTGTATATGTCATACAAGAGACTGAGCTCTCTCTATTTATAGAGAGGAGAAGGTGACCGAAAGTGTATATTACAATACATTAAACTATAGGTAAAGCTTTCTTGTGTGCTGGTGTGTGCTAGTGGGTGTGTGTTGGTGTGGGCTTTACAGTGTGATCCGAACATGTGATGCTAGTGGGTGTGTGCTGGTGTGTGCTTTACAGTGTGTATTGTATTGTATAACATGTGATGCTAGTACAACATGTGTGCTTTATCTACTATTAACATCCCCCCTCAAACTCAAGGAGGACAAACATCAACCAACTTGAGTTTGGAGACAAGGTCAACGAAGTGGCCAGGAGAATGAGCTTTGGTGAAGATATCAGCAGGTTGATCAACAGAAGAGATCGGATGGAGATGGACAGTACCATGAGTAACGTGTTGCCGAATAAAATGGCAGTCAATCTCAACGAGCTTGGTGCGATCATGAAAAACATCATTGTGAGCAATTTGAAGAGCACTGTGATTGTCACAAAAGAGGGCAGTAGCGCCAGAGGGAGTAACACCCATGTCAGCAAGAAGCCAACGAAGCCAGAGAAGCTCCTGAGTAGTATCAGCATGGGCACGATATTCGGCTTCGGTACTAGAACGAGCAGTAAGAGATTGTTTCTTACTGTGCCAAGAAATAAGAGAATCACCCAGAAAAAAGCAAAACCCAGTAGTAGAGCGGCGGTCAGTAGGATCGCCAGCCCAATCAGCATCAGAGAAAGCACGAAGCTGGAGAGAGGAGCGGGCGGAATAATGAAGACCATGAAACATGGTGCCTTTGAGATAGCGAATGATACGAATTAATGCAGCATAATGTGTGGTACGAGGAGCCGACATAAACTGGCTGACAATATGGACGACATAGGCAATATCAGGACGAGTAACAGTGAGATAGACAAGACTGCCAACCAGCTGACGATATAGAGTAGCATCAGAGAGAAGAGTGCCATCAAGAGGTGTAAGACGACTCTGAGGCTCCAGGGGAGTTGAGGCAGTCTTGCAATCGGTAAGACCAGCACGGGTGAGAAGATCAGATGTGTACTTAGCTTGAGAGAGAAAAGAACCCGTGGAATCATGGAAGATTTCAAGACCCAAGAAATAGCTGAGAGGACCAAGGTCTTTCATCTCGAAATGATGGCTAAGAAATTGTTTAAGATGAAGAATACCATTGACATCATCACCGGTGATAATCATATCATCC